GGCTATGAAAGTTACCAAACTTTGACAGCCATTTTCTCTGTAATCTTATATTATTATCTAAAGCCGTGTGACCCTGACTTCCTTCAATCGCAAATACCTCGACTTGTATTCAACATAGATGAATATTGTTTTTCACCAAAAGTAAGGCCAATGAACAGGCTTTAACAGCTTACATAATGAAACGAAGCCTAGTATCCCTTCCCATTACTGCACAGCAACCCTTTTAAGTAGACACCCACATGTAATACTATACCAACACACTTTCTCTGACAAAGGAGCACATACACAAACTGGCAGATCATTGTGGCACCTGATCATGCAGGTTATCACTTTTCAGACACACAGCCAGCAGTACAAAATACCCCACCTGGTCACCCAGCCAGGAGAGTGACTACAACGGACTTCTCCGGCCTGGCACAGAACTGTGTCAGGTGACCGGAATGGATAACTTTCACCGGCGCATTATTGCACCAAGTTATGGCAAAGTGATTTATTGGAAGAATAATCAAAGTAGTTAGTAGAAAAGGATGTAAATAGTAGGAGATAAATCGAAGTATTTAGTAGAAAAGGATCAATAGAAGAAGAATTGAAGTAGTTAGTAGAAAAGGATCAGTAGAAGAAGAATTGAAGTAGTTAGTAGAAAAGGATCAGTAGAAGAAGAATTGAAGTAGTTAGTAGAAAAGGTTTTCAATTGTAGAAGATATTATTATATTGAAGTAGTTAGAAAAAAAGGATTTAAATAATTAATGTGTTTTTAGGCCCGGTTTTAAGTGTGGTCTGCTCTCTCAGTTTAACGCGCCACTTCTGTTAGAACTAACTGTAATTCTAAACGTTTTACGCCTGCAGCAACACAATTTAGACTTCCCAAGTGAGGACAAATTGGCTCTTTAAAAAACGAGGTGTGGAAAAAACCGACAAGAAAGTGTCCGTGTAATTAGGAGACCAGACTTAAGTATCTGTAACTCTCCCGGCAAAAGGGGAAACAAACATGGCGGCTGCCATAAACACAGATGAACTATTTCTAGACGGGACCGAAAATAACCCACCAAAGGCGAAAATCCATGCCCTCTACGGGGATTCCAGCTTATGTAGCCTTTAATGGTTGGCCATAAAACTTTTCTAAAGAGTTGGCTTTTCCAAATCAGAGAAAGAAAACCTCGCTCAGCGGAAAGGTAAAAGGAAGACGAGCATGAAGGCTCAAAACCCTTTCAGAGGAAACATGGCCGCTTGGGCAAGACACATTACCACGGAACTTCCTCTAAGCAAGCCGTAAGCTGCGATGTATCAACCTGTAATTTGATCCCCTGGGAGGGCTTTTAGAGCTAAATAGGGGCCCACGCTGCATTTGTTGCCTATTTCGATCCGAAATTTGTTGAGTTCAATTGCTGAACCTCCGAAAAGAAGGCTTAACCGACTGTGATTAGAAAAACCGCGTCGTAATTCCGATATTGTGCTGGATGTACAAACAGGGACGCAGATTTCACTTTGGTGGTTGGACCATTTGGCTCTCAAAATGTGAGATGTTGCGTTCTATTTTCTGTGTCATTGGCCTACAGTGTTGGGTCATTCAACCCGTTGTTGGAGGGTTGGGGG